ATTGAGCACCCTTATTTGAGGCAGTGTATCGACATGTGTGATAATCTTGCCCATCACCAGAAATAAAAGGGTAAGACTTTTCGGTATCAACACCCTTGTTGGCTTTGACATATGAGAAAGCATTGTCCATCAAACCACCATTGCATCCGTTATCACCATACTTCCATGAGCAATCAATCAAGTTTTGTTCGGAAAGCTCAACAAGTTTACCAGTTTTTTGAGCGTTTGCTGATTCGATAGCAGCGATGGCAGAGAAAGCCCAGCATCCACCACATTGCTGTTGATTTTTGACTTGACTTACGATTCCTTTGGTTCGCCAATCAACTGAGGCTGGAACTTTGACGGTGTAATTTACGTTGTGAACGAGAGGAGCGGGTCGACGAGCAGGCTTGAATCCAAGATGTTTTGCTTTGAATTCCTCGGCGGTCTGCAAAAAATTTAATGAGTTTAATTATTTGGTATTAAATTCTTAAGCCTTGAAATTTCACAGTTTCCAACTCACCAAATCAGCGAACTTGTTGACTCCTAATCTGTAGGTAACTTCACCATTGGCTGCTCTTTCATTATGAGCCTTGATCTTTTCCAGTTTCTGGGCAAAAACATTTCGTCTGTAGGTTTCTTCTTCAGCCGAATCATAAGATTTGCCGTATTTAGTCTGTTAGACAATGAAACATTAATAAGAATCAACTCACGAATAAAGTCAATTTGGTAAAATAGACTTACCTTGAATGATTCCCATTGGGAGTCAAGGGAAAGGCTAGCAGCAGTGGCCAAGGCAAATAAAGCAATGAATAAAGCAGCTCGAATCATTTTGATTGGTAGTTGTTGGGTGAACAATAATTATTAGACTAATGATTCTTATGGACGCTAGCTTTTCCTTTTATATGATGGACTAGTCTGTGATTAAACATTTAATAAAAAGGTGATAAACACTAACAACAATGTTTTTAAATGTCATTTTGTTTTAAATTAACCAAATCACCAAAAATCACGAGCTTTCATCAAAAAATCAGAAAGATGAGACTTCGATTACAAAATTCATCGGAATTGTTCATTTTAATTGATAACTCCATTGTTTCACGCACTATCTTACCAGCAATAATGAAAACATATCAAATCTAATCATATCACTAAGATTTTATCTGAAATTAACTGATCTATCGGAGATAATTCGCACGGAGATCGTACTTTACACTTGGTTTACATGTAGTTTTATCACAAATCAGTCAAGCTCAATAAGCAAATGTCAATTGATCGTAACCTTTGCAATTTTCACAAATAGCAAGTATTAATACAATATGCAAGTACTGTCTCTTTTTATTAACAACTTTGTTCTGATTTTATCGACTTATGGTCAGTCGGTGTTGCTGAATATCCAGCTCCTGGATCACTCATTGGACCTACTTTCGCATGTATAATTGGTGAACAATTTGCCAATCTTCGACGAGGTGATCGTTTCTGGTATGAGAATAGCGGTTGGCCATCATCTTTTCTCTTGAACAACTTAATGAAGTTCGTAAAGTTAAATTAGCCAAATTATTATGTGACAATGCTGATGACATTCAAACAATTCAACTCTATTCACTTCTTATGCCTGATCATCATTCGTGAGTGCATCTTAATATTTCATTTTTCATTCAAAATGTTAAAAAATTTACTAATAACTTATTTTTCACGGCTTATTCAGCTTTTTTTCATTCTGAGCCAGTCGAGGTTTCGTTAAACTTCACCTTGC